AAAAAAAGTACTACAAATCACAATAGCTAACAATTTAAAATATTTTTAAAATCATATAAAAATTTCAATAACTTCTCAAATTCCATAATATGATAATATATATTGGGCCCCGTGCTGGCACGGGGTCCCGTATCTAGTATTAAAAAAAGGCACCATTTAAAATTGAATGGTTATGACTTTTTCGATAAGTTGTGACATTTTCGAAGGATTGTGACTTTTATGATAAGAAAAAATATGCACATGCTTGTACAACACTTTGTTACTATAAATAGAGGGGCTTCCTCACATTTTTGAACTATGATTTTTTTATATTTTCTATTCTTCTCTTCTTAAAAACTATAGTTTGATTTTCAGACGCTGACAATCTCAAAGTTAAGTGAAATTAGAACACTCACTGATATGAATTTTATATAAATATAATACTCCAACTAAAAACATCAAATTTAGTATATCTTCTATATTTTATATCAACATTTATTTATATTATATTATATTAAAAATAAGAACTCCAACAATACAATAATAACTAAGTAATGTACTATGGGAGGGAGGAGAAAGTATATTTAAGAGGTGTAACTAAGAATTCTTACGGGTGACTAACTTTCATTAGAAATCATAAGAAAATTTACATCCCTTATTCATATGAACTTATACTTTATCATTCAGTTTATAATTATTTACTTACTATTATTTTTTAATAATATTCACATTATTTTTTAAATATAGTGTAGTACATGGTTTGAAATTCACGTGCAACGCACGTGTGTCAAAATTAATGTGTATATATATAGAGATACACACTTATTTCTTCCATTATTTATATAGTTGTAGTTGCATATTGTATAAATTAAAAATTAACAAATCAAATATAGTATTGGGCACATTACTATTTTTTATGTCTGATATTATCAGAATAATATTATTATAATATTACAACAAATAAAATTATGTATTATTAAGTTAATATGATCATATAAATTGTAATATTTAATTATTATAACTATTAAAAAAAAGTTAACAAGTGAATAACAAATTTTATAAATTATTTTTATTTAAAAAAAAAAATGACATTTAAAAATATCCGCACAACGCGTAGGTACGAATACTAGTAATACTTAATAGCAAAGGTAAAATAAATACAAAAGACAAAATATCTCTTGATTTTCTAAATTGGACAAACACGGTTGAAAAAAACTATTTTTAGTATAGTGATTAACTATTGTTAGCCAGAAAAAGTAATATGAAACAGCTATTTTTAATAAGATAATAAACTAATATGAAACATCTCTGCGCGTTTCCGCGAGCGCATCCTTCATTTCCAAGCTTTATTTCTATCGTAATTTTTCCATCTGGGCGCCTATTCATTCTTTTTTGGGTGTAAACTTCAAATTAATTTAAGTTAAATAAGAGCATAATTCTCTGCAATTCTAATTAAACCCCGCTTAAACCCCGTCCCCACATTTAATCATCTTCTTCTGCCTCATATAGATATAAACAAAGTTGTACGTATACACACGCATTCTGTACTCCAGAATTTTGGGGTTTTGGAATTTTCTGTAGTGAAACAGATCTCTCTCTCTCTCTCTACCTGTAGTAGTATTCCATTTTTTCTGTCTATTTGAATATGGGAAATAACGGGGATGCTCCGGTGGAGCCGATGAAGCTGACTTCATTCAGGAGCCGGAGGAAAGCACCAGCCATTTCCGGTGAACCTGATGACTTTATCAACCTCTTGCATGGCTCTGATCCCATCCGAATTGAGCTCACTCGTCTTGAGAATCAACTCCGAGGTTTGAATTTTTTTTTTATTATTAATTAAAACAAATTGGGGAATTTTCCATTTTATTGTGATCAATTATTTTGTTTTTCTCTTGAATGTTCTGTTATTAATTGTTTTTGAGGTGTCAGTTCACCTCTATATTCCGCAATTGGTTTGATGATTTTTTTTTTTAGCTTTTTTGAGCTCATTTTGGTAAAAGTATATATTTTTTGAATTGGGTTCAAAGAAATTTCTTGTGTTCTCTGCAATTATGTGATTAGTTCCTATTTTTTTTTGGCAGCTCTGTGATTACATATGGTATTGTGTGTCAGTTGGCCATCTTATCTTTCCTTTTTTTAAAAAAAAAATTGTAATTAAAACAATATATTTTTCCATATGGTTTATGGTTGTACTTTTATGATGAAGTTTTTTCTCCAGACAGTTTACTGATATAAAAAAAAAAACTTTGATTTTGAAGGGGTTCTGGATTTTACTGTATTTTATCTGAAAAGTACTTCACAAAAGTTTAAATTTAGAGCAGTTTATGATTTTTTTATTCGCAAAATGGTGTTGTAATTTACTTGCCCCAGAGTTCTTTCTTATTTCTCTCTTTTTGTAGACTACTTTTTTAAAAAATAAATAATTAAGTTTGGTTATTTTCTTTTTAGTAGAAACTTGTTTGTTTTAGTTTATTTGCTGTGGGATATAGAAAAAGATGTATGAGGCTTGCTCACATGGAATATTTGGAAACTTGTGACTTCAAAAGCTAATAAAGACAAATTAGAAATGTGCAGGTTGTTTTCTCTGAGTCAGAACAGTGGAAAAATGCTAAAATGTAATTTTTGTTGTTGCATGTGTAATGAAGCCAATTTTGTTGGTCCCTACTTCAGATGGTCCATTTGATGAACATTTGCACATTCTAACGTTGAGCCAATTTCATTTACGTTGCACATTCTAGCAAGTTTTCGTGCCAAAGTGGATGTAGTCGTACGTCTTCTTGTGACCTGTTCACCACCCACCAATTTGATGAATGTTTTGTATGGTACCAAGTTTCTGTGATGAAGTATGCTCATAGGTTTTTTTGTGACCTTATCTTACAGTCCATATGATGAAAAATGCACATTTCTCAGCAATGAAGAGAGTATTATTAGAGATATTGGAAAAATGGATTGACAAAAGTAAATATAAAAAGAACTCTGAAGCAAACTTTGATTTAATGTAATGAAGGTGGCTATGTGTTACATAGTGGAAATGTAGTATGAAGAAGGGTGATCAAGTTAGCCACAAAGAAGTGATTATTTTACATGACTAATAATTGAGAGTGCTCTGATGTTGGATTCTAGAAGTAATATTAAACAACATGCTATAACAAATGTCTTGATTGCGATGGCTTAGCCTCCACTTACTAATGCACACAATTTGCAATATTAATGAGTTTTGAATGATAAGCTGGATACTTCCATCAATCAAAGATATCCCAACATCTGTTACACTGAAAATATTTGAGAACTAAAATGTAAGCACCTTCAGGAATTTAGGTGCATGGGATTAGCTTTTGCCTCTTACAAACGTCTTTGAGTATCCTTAAACAGGAATTTAGGTGCATGGGATTAGCTTTTGCCTCTTACAAACGTCTTTGAGTATCCTTAAACAGGAATTTAGGTGCATGGGATTAGCTTTTGCCTCTTACAAACGTCTTTGAGTATCCTTAAACAGGAATTTAGGTGCATGGGATTAGCTTTTGCCTCTTACAAACGTCTTTGAGTATCCTTAAACAGGAATTTAGGTGCATGGGATTAGCTTTTGCCTCTTACAAACGTCTTTGAGTATCCTTAAACAGGAATTTAGGTGCATGGGATTAGCTTTTGCCTCTTACAAACGTCTTTGAGTATCCTTAAACAGGAATTTAGGTGCATGGGATTAGCTTTTGCCTCTTACAAACGTCTTTGAGTATCCTTAAACAGGAATTTAGGTGCATGGGATTAGCTTTTGCCTCTTACAAACGTCTTTGAGTATCCTTAAACAGGAATTTAGGTGCATGGGATTAGCTTTTGCCTCTTACAAACGTCTTTGAGTATCCTTAAACAGGAATTTAGGTGCATGGGATTAGCTTTTGCCTCTTACAAACGTCTTTGAGTATCCTTAAACAGGAATTTAGGTGCATGGGATTAGCTTTTGCCTCTTACAAACGTCTTTGAGTATCCTTAAACAGGAATTTAGGTGCATGGGATTAGCTTTTGCCTCTTACAAACGTCTTTGAGTATCCTTAAACAGGAATTTAGGTGCATGGGATTAGCTTTTGCCTCTTACAAACGTCTTTGAGTATCCTTAAACAGGAATTTAGGTGCATGGGATTAGCTTTTGCCTCTTACAAACGTCTTTGAGTATCCTTAAACAGGAATTTAGGTGCATGGGATTAGCTTTTGCCTCTTACAAACGTCTTTGAGTATCCTTAAACAGGAAAGAGTTTGTTCAGAGATTAAAGATTGGGTGTGTCACTCCTTGCCAAGGAGTCCGTGGTATAACATAAATCACTTGTGATCGATCAACTATGCATTTTCCTTTTTGGAGGGGCATACTTTAGCCCCTTTGTTGTTTTTCTTTTCCTTTTATTCTCCTTTTTGGATTATCTTTCCTGGCATAACTATAGTCTCTACATACTACTCTTTTTTTTTTTTGAAATTGGTAACATGTTATATCATCAGCACTCGAAATATAGGCCTGATATATCATATTTACTGTTACAGCCCTAACAAAAACTTCTGCATCATCTACTGACTCTTCTTTACACCAAATATAAGAAAGAGAAATGCAAGAACTCTTAATCTTCTGGATTGAACTGCTCTTGCCTTCCAAATGTCTAGCATTCCTCTCATTCCAAACTGTCCACCATATGCAAGCTGGAACAATCTTCCACTACTCTTTGTGACTATATACTACTTTCCTTTTTGGCAAGTCTCTGCATACTTCTTACTGGAGCTTATAGTCTGCAAAACAACCTTGCAGATAAAGATAGAGAACTGGGGGAGGCATATGGAGAAATCAAATCTTTGAAGTACTCTGAACGCGTTAAAGAAAAGGCAGTTGAGGAGGTATAGAAACCTATATGGAAATATCTAATCCTGTAAAAAAATGCATATAGCTGTACCTAATACAGAATAAAACTATCTAATTGCAAAATTCGTGTCTTTTTTATTGAATTGAGCTATTACTTTAGTTTGCAATAGTTGTTCAGCTCAAACCACTGAATTCGAATATTTACCTATTCATTTAGTTCGTGACAAAAATAATGTGCACTTTACAGTCAAGAAATTTTTTAGCTTACTTAATACAAAATAAGATGTATGGATCTTGTACACTATACATACAACCTTATCTCTAGTCCATTCCTTATAGATCTGTTAATGAACTTTTTGCTACATTCCCCTCAACTCCTCTCTTGATTCTAAATTGGGCAGACATTAAATTTTATGTTTAAACCACCTCTGACTAACTTCCCAAATAAAAACTAAAACTATAGTTCTTCTTTGAGGTAAGTAACCAAGGTAACTTAAAGAAAATTAGAAGGAACAAAAACCAGTGTGAAATTAAACTCTTTAGTTTCGACCCGACAATGGAAAAATGGTCTAATAGAAAAACAAGTAAAAGGAATGTTTGTGTATGGTTAATTTAAGTAGACCATTTAGAGTATGGTCCATCCGTAAAATTTAAACCCCTCACCTAAAGTCAATAATTATATATGAACTTTCATTTGACTATACATTGCAAGGTACGTTTAAACTTCGCTATATGGATCTTATGAAGCATTATGATTGGGTACATGATGGAATTAGTCAAAAGAAATCATTATGATCTGATGACTGGATTTGTCGTTGAAGCTACGGAATTTTTCATTCGGGGCCTGTTCTTTGTAAAATGCCCTTGTCCCTGCAATCTCAATTTATCCATATCAAAAGTTAGCAATTTGGGAAGTCTGGTGTCCAAGAGTCTGTAAATCTTGTAAGTAAAAAAGAGTCTGTAAATCTTGGTTAAATAGCTGTAATTATGTATGGTGAAGGATCAAATGAACAAAGCAGTTCATAGAAGACTGAATCAAAAGAATATTTATGACCCGATGATTGGGTTTGTCGTTGAAGCTGCTGACAGTGCCGTGGTGTTGAAATTCCATTATCTATGGAATATTATAACTATTTATCCATGTCAGAAGTTAGCAAATCAGGAAGTCTGAGTCAGTAAATCTTTGTTAAAATGCCTTCATCTCTGGAGTCTGATAGCTGATTATCCATATCAAAGTTAGCTCCTTGGAAGTCTGGTGCCCAAGAGTCTGTAAATCTCGGTCAAAGAGCTGTAACACTGTACTATGAAGGTTCAAAGGAACATAATGGTTCACTTGGGTGGGTGGGGGGGGGGGGGGGGGGG